GAATCGTGTGATGTACTCCCGGCTGCAGCGGGACCAGGTGAGTGGGGACGTGTCATACAGGAGCTGTGGAGACATGATGAAAGGTCTTTTCCCAACTGGCTCACAGTCATTGCTGCTTCCATCATGCTGAATCCCAAAACTGTGTAAGAGCACAGCCCCACAAAGGAGAGGTGAGCCGCACGCCGCTACAACCGCGCAGCCTCTCTGCGTCCCAGCACGACGCCGCGCCGGACACCCGAACCGCCCCGGCTCCGCGGGGACTCGCTCCTTAACGGGACCGGGGGATCTGGCTGGGGGGGGCGACGCGTTAGTGACACCAGGGCCACTGCCCCGAGCTTTGTCCCATGCTTTTATTTCAGCTTTCTTACTGAAAATTCAGCCAGGGAAAAAGTAACGAGACTACGGAATGCGATCAAGTCAATTAAACTTACGAGGTGTGTGGTTTTACCACATAAAGATCTCGACCGTGAACTGCGACGTTCAAGTGATCTTGTCAAAATTTGACTGAAATCAGGGCAAGCAAAATTCTGTTGCCGGTTCTATACTCAGACCCTACACTAAAATTTCTTAGTGGGCAACCCTCTTCTCCAAAACCCTCAGCACCAGCAACGCAGGACGATACACAAATGCAATGCGTCCAGGTTGCCGTGGACCACTTCCCTCGAACAGGTTGCCCAGAGAAGCTGTGGCTGCCCCATCCCTGGAAGTGTCCAAGGCCAGGTTGGATGGGGCTTGGAGCAACCTGGTGTAGTGGAGGGTGTCCCTGCCCATGGCAGGGGGGTTGGAACCAGGTGACCTTGAAGGTCCCTTCCAGCCCAAACCATTCTGTGATTCCATGATGATGTGATTTTTCATTCAACCTGGGGCAACCAAAAACTGAACTTAAAATTAAACTCCCAGGGTAAATTCCCCCGGGAGCAGGGGAAGGTTTGCACCAGCGAGGAACCGCTCAGCAGACTTCTCCCAACTTCCACCCGTGCCTTCTCAAGCCCTGACCGAGCAGCGCAGAGGACAGAGGAGAGGAGGAGGAAGCTGGTGGTACCTGTGTCCGAGCTCATGGGCCACGGTGAAGGCCAGGGGCAGCCCCGTGTCCTCGTTGATGTTGCAGCTCCGGTGGGGCTGGCACATCCCCGCCACGTGGGACAGGCCCAGGGTCTCGCAGGGTCTGTTCATCGCCGCGCAGATGTCCTTCCTTGGGCGACGGAGACAACGGACACACAGACACAGAGCAAAGAGGGCGTTTGACAGCAGCAAAACCCAACGTGAGACGCGGGAAGGAGCACGGGACGTGTCCCAGCCCATGGAGGAAGACACACGGACACCGGCCAAACAGAAGTGAGAACGGAGACGTCCAACGTCTCTCCGCAACGGAAAGATTTACGACCTTTCCTTTCCCCTTTCCCCTCCTGGTATTCCCAGCTTATTATTAAGCCTGATTAATGGGAACTGCTAGCCAGCCTGGCTATGTTTGTTCCATTGCATAAATAAAGCTGATGCTGGGAATAATTAAGCAATTACTACGTTGCTTGGGGAAGTACATCCCAGGGGTGCTGCGGGCCAGGGAGCTCCAGCCACCCAGGAAGAACGACTCCATGGAAGTACATGGCCTGAAGTGCCTTATTTCTGCTACAAAGCAAACTTCCTAAAGAAGATAAAACTGTTGTGGGTTGTGAATCATCACACAAACCACCACGAGACTGCCAACAGCCAAGTCACTGCAGCCTGAAACCATCAAACTACGTTTTTACTGCAAGGTACATAAACTTGGCCAGAGCCATGAATTCCTGCGAGCTTCATGGGAGGTCAGGGGCCTCCTGAGAGGCTCCTCTGCCAACCCCAGCATTAGCCTCCAAGGCAAAAGGGAGAGTTAATCCCTGTGTACATCTCCTGGGAGGATCCAGCCATTCTGGGGCTTGGCAACAGGGCCCTGCTGAAAACCTGGTTCGGAAGCCTCCGCTGCTAGTCAACTGGAAGCTGGCTCCAGGTTTGAACTTGAGTGTTGAGACCAGTTCTAGCCACTAAGACCAGGTTATCTTCAGATTTCATGTTACACATCTTATGTGCAGGTGTCCAGGCAGGGCTCAGACACGGAGAGTGAGATTTCAACCGCTCCCACTGAGATGTTCCTCTGGCTGCCCGTATTCCCATCTGCCTGCAGCTGGCAGAGGAGTTTCTAGCTGCCAGCGTAGCACCTACAGCATCAAATGAGCACATGGGCACAATACCTGGTGAGCAGGACCGCGACGTCGTGATGCAGGGGATGGGAATCTCCTTTAACGTTGATGCTCTTCTGCCATTTGCAAAAGCTTCTCAAGGTGTTGTCCGCATGGTGGGAGATCTTCAGATCCTCCTGCCAACATAATTCAAAGTCTGCTGTCAGATTGCTGCCAGATCTGTTTGGTTTCCAGGAGGTAGAGGGGAGGGGTCTGATCTCAGACACATCAGAGCAAAATCAGGCGTAACACCCATCCAGATGGAACTGCTCCATATTTATAGGTTGTGGGACTGGGTGGGAATAAGTCCTTTTCTGCTTTCTTTTCATCTGTGATTCAATCAAAACATTAAACCATCTGATACTGGGGGTTACGAAACACTGCGGGAAAACATCCTGCCCTGGCCGATGGCGAAGGACGCAGCTGGGGAGCCCGTCTGAGTGGCATCAGGCTCCCCGGCTGGGGGAGCACAACCAACCCACTACCGGCAGCGATGCTCAGTTATCCGAAATTATCACAGGAACCAGACCCACAGCTCCTCTGCCCACAGTAGAGTCGCACCAGGGCTGCAGCCCACGCAGAGGACAAGGCAGCCAGGCACAGCGTCTGCCACCCCTGGCACAAACTCCTCCAGGCCGTGAAAAGGGCACGAGAGAGACCTCGAAGGCTCCCAAGGGGTGGCTCCTCCGCAATCCCAGCCTGGTTGCCAGGGTTGGAGGGTGAGTCACTGTGTTTTCCTTTTACCTCTTCTTCCTCCAGCAGGATGAGCCGCACTATGGCGATGTTGATGGGGTTCCCGATGCTGGCGTGGTGGAACAGACCCGCCACCTGCAATAGCAAAGGACAAAGGACTAAAGCCGGAAAGAAAGACCTTACCCTGCGACACTGCTCCTGGTAAGCACATCTGCAGGGGAACATGAGCTCCAGGGGAAGCTACCGAAGGCTGTTGACAACAGCCCAGGGAATTCCCCAAAACAAAAGGCAAGACCAGATGCAGACCTGGACTAAAGCGCTGGGAGGGTGATGACATCCCGGTTGAAATGGATATAATCTGTGCAGCACATTGAAACTCAACCAGAAACCACTGGGGCAACACCTCTGCTTCCACTCCTAACAGATGTGTTTAGCATCTCAAAGGAAGCCTGTGCCTTCTGGGTGCCTTCACCAACCCCCAGAAATCCAGGGATGTTACTGGGAGGTCCTCTGCCCAAACCCACCCTCTTTTCTGACCACAAAGCCCTCTTCTGAGATGCAAATAGGTGCTACCACCACAGCAGAAGAGAGAACAGACTGAACCAACTCACACAGAGTTATCTGCTTGTTCGACAGTGCCAGCAAAACCTCCTCCCAGTGCCCAGTGAAGACCACCACAATCTGGTGCTACTCTCAGCCCCTTCCCTTGGCTCTCCGCACTGGCACCGTCCCATGAAAGCCGTGCACATCTCTCCTGCCAACCAGGGTACTGCTGGCACCGGCTCCGACGGCAGGCTTCTCCCTCCGGGGGCACGGCCAGTCCCCAGTTCGAGCAAGCCTGAGCCAAAGCTCCCAGGTCCCTGCGGGTCTCCCCCCCCACGAGGAGGTTTCCTTACCACGCAGAGGGTGGTGGGTGGCCCCAGCACAGGCTTTGGGGTGGTTTTAGCTTCAGCTACATCCCCGTGCCCAGCTGCCTGCATGCCCGCCTGGGGAGAGCCGTGGTGGCAGCACCCACCACCTCCCTCCCCTGGACCAGTGGTGTGGGACGAGCAGCCCTGCCCTTGGGGCATCTCCCAGGGAGGCCACATTATCCCTCCCCATGGAGGGAAGGAGAAAGGAGCAGCCCCTGAGCCCATGGGGCAGGTGAAACCGCTGCAGGCTGAGCTGCTCCTGCCTGCACGGAGATTTTGGACACCGACCCACCCTCCACCGACTGAGCGCTGGGCGATGCAGAAAAGCCAACGCGGGTGGGAACAGCCTGTTTGGCCAGAGGTTTGCTGAGGTCCCACCAGGGATGAGTCCCGGCAAGCCCAGGGGTCTTTACGTCTCACAGCCACGTCCCTCTGCCATTGAGAGGTCCAGGACTCACCATGTTCATCACGGTCAGCACGTATTTCTCTATGTTCTCGCTCCCGTGGTACTCTATCATCTTGGTGTCTGCCACCACCAGCGTTTCCACCCACTTCTCCCTGCTGATGGAGCGCTGCTTTATTCTTCTCTTCCTGTGCTGCTTCTGTTCCCATCTTTCCCTCCGCTTCTCAGACCTCTCCAGGCTTTCCTGAGATTCTGAGGGATTAAAGGGGGGAAAAAAAAGACTTGTTTTTTCTTGTAAAATGTCTGCAACTTTACTAAAATATCATCAAGGTCTTTTTTTTTTTTTTTTTTAATTCAAGAAATAACCTTTTGGTGTTGAGAAGGTGGCCCATGCTTAGACCCATAACCTACGTGTATTTTGCTGTGCTGTATGTTCCAAAAAATCACGGGGGTGAAGACTCTGACCTCAGTGTTGCAGAGCAGCATTAGCGTGACAGAAAAATATTAATCAATAAAGCACTTGAAGTAATTTCTTTGACTGGAACAGGGTTTGCAATACTCCATGAGGAACATGGAACTTCCCAGAGCGGTTTGTATGGACACACGAATTTACAGGCAGCCCTGGAGAGATGCCCGAGCGTGTACCACTGAGAAACATCGGTGGCCCAACATTTCTGATCATCATCACAAATCTGCATTTTGCAGAGAGGGGCAGTTCCCCAACACGATCAGCTCCGCGCCCCTGAAGCCGGACTGATGTCTTGAGCCGAATCCTGAAGACCATCAGTGTCTTGGGTAAGACCAAGACGTTGCAGGACCGCACCGAGATTTCCTCAGCCACACGGAGACTGAACTCTGCTCCTTCCCAGGGAGAAACAACGGGAACATTCATGGGGCTGAAAAGGGACGGGAGGTGGCGGAGGGCTGGGACGCTCCTCACGCACACCAGCAACTGGGAATTCTCATGTGGAGACTTTTCCTGTGACGCTCCAAGACCAAGGTCAGGGTCAGCCCCAAGCTGGGTAAAGGCTTTGCAAACCACATCCCACACAGTGGGAATTGCTTTTATGACCAGTTTCTGAGGACTCAGCCTCACTCTGTTAACAAAAGGCTTTTACATTTTATGGACTATACTGTACATGAGCTGTGAAAGAGCGTTCTATCCCCCCCAGCCTGAAAAATCCCAAGTATCTGGATAATTTGATGAATTGCTAATACTGCTGTGACAGTTTAATCGCCAACAGCTTCCTTGGAGCTTGCTTCCATGGTGTCCTTTGCTGCTAAGCTTCCCGCCGGGACGTGGCGGGACTGCGGAGAGGGTGGGTGCCGAGGGCTCCTGGGACCCTGGGTGGGCTCCCACGGCATTTTCCCTTGGAGACTCCTCTAAACACTGCCCAGCTGTACACACAGCCTGGTAATAACAGAAGGTAAATAACACCTCAGAGCCTGACACCATCTGCCTCGGCCACGTTGTGCAAAGACAACCGGCCATACACGGTTGAAGGGAAAGGCTTGCAGTCATTAAAATCCTACAGCCTCTGGTTCCCTGTCCAGGGCACCCACATCACAGCCCCTTTGCTGGCCCAGACCGCGGCGGAGACCCACGCGCGGTACGCAGGGGCCGTATCACACCCGCTGAGATTCATGTACTACGAATAGAGTTCAATGTCTAAAAGTCATTATGATTATTACCATAGATTAAATAATTAATTTAGATTAATGGAAGAATGCTTAAAGATAACCTGCTTATAGAAAAAAACCCAAACAGTTTCCAAAAGCAGAGAGCTCTAGGAAATACACAAACTCAGATGCACTGCCTGGACGATGCAGACAAGGAGTAAAGTGCCTGTGAGCTGCTGGGGATGTGCTGAATTCCTCATTACTTGAAATGTTGTGTTTGGAAGCTTTTCCAACCCATTGGCTCTAGACAGAGGGGAAGGGACCAGCACGTGCTCCCTGCCCTGCCGCAGAGAGACTCCCGGGGCAGCGACCGGGTCTCACTCCGAAAGTCCAACGCCCCGGCGGGTCAGAAACCCGCGTTTGCAAGGAAATGGAAACAAACAGCCTCCCCATCGCGGGATGCTCGCTGCAGGGCCAGGAGGAAAAGCTGAGAGTGAAGGCCTGAGGTTCAGCACAGATCGAGTCGTGTATGAGAGAAACATAAGAAAATACAGAAAAACTGGCAAGGGAAAAAACCCAACCCTGTGCTCCACGGCGATTCCCGTGACTTGTGGGCGCCAGTCACTAACGCCACAACCCACATGTCGGCAAGCGACCTCTCCTGACCAGCAATTTAAACGAGGCTTCCCGTAATCAAAACGCCTGTGGGCAGGGTTTTGTGGGCACCCCGGGGGCCACGGGGCTGCCCACCGGCCAGCAGCTCCGGCCCGTTGGACACACAACCACCAGCAGCATCACGGCGCTGCCGACCGCGAACGTCCTGTGCCCAACGCTGCCACCGCGCAGCGGGATGCCCGCAGCCCACGGTCCATCCCCTCCCCACTCCCGGTTCAGATTCTTGGTCTGAGGGTTTTCCTCCTTGCCAGCCTACGTGGCAAGAGAGACCTTCAGCCCAACTTGTAAAACTCCAGCTGAGAGCAACCAGCATCACTGATGGGCACTGGGAGCCGAACGCTGGGGTTTAAGACCAACGAGTCTACGGAGGCAACGCAAGGACCTGCTCCCTTTATCCTTCTACGCTGTGCTTCACACGAATCCCAGGACCCAGCTGCTCATCACAAAAACTCAAGAGAAAGAGGACCATACCTCGCACACCACAGGTCTCCCGTGGAGCTGGTGGCCTCCTGCCTCGCTCTCCCCCGTGCTCGGGCACCTGGCGCTTGTATATCCTGTGGGGCTGCGCCGCTCCGTCCTCCCGAATGCTGCTGGACACCGGTTCGATGAAGTAGTCCTCGTTCATGAGCTGAAACACGCCTTTCTGGCAGGGAGAGACAAAGCTGTCACCATGAAGCCATCTGCACCTAGCAAGGACTCACGCTGAAGAAGCTGGGAATGGGAGAGGGTGCGCAAAATTTTCCAGGGGGAAATGGGTGTTCTCTAAAGAAACTGTTTTTATGGATATTTTAGAGCTCTAAACTCCCAGGCAAAAGAGAACGAGCCAGCATGGGTCGATCATTAAGACAATAAAAAGCTAAAGAGATTCCACCACAAGTGCAGATGGGTGGGAAGCCCATGGGTGCTGACCCTGCGGAGCCCAGGGATGCCGAGATGGAGAAACGCCGTCTCCTGAGACCCGGAGCACACCAGGAACAGGCGCACATACGGTCGCAGACTGTGCTCCCTCCTCCGTGTTCAGGCCACCGCTCTCTGCCCTTCCTGGAGACACTCCGGGGAGTCAGGAGGCAGCCTGCTAGCGATGCTTCCCTGGCTCGTGCAGTGCCAGGGAAGAGAAAACGGCTTCCTCCGTAATTAACTCCTCGCAAATGTAAAATAATAAGGAGGAAACACCAAGGGGATGGGGAAGGAAGGGAAGGAAGCCACGGATACGATTCCTTCTCCATTTCCTGACGCAGGATTTTCTGAGCCAGGACGGGAACAGACACCGCTGCCCCGGCTGAAACCCGCCCGGGGTGCCCGGCCCAGGGACCACGTTTCGTCACCAGTTGGTTCTGCGGCAGCACTGACTGGCGTTTGCCACCCATGGAAAGGTCCAGTTGTCTCTCTCTAAAACACACCTGGTTAACACTTCTGCCCCTTGCGTGTCCCAGTCCGCCCCAGTAAGCAGCGCCAGCATCCCTAACCCCTGTCTCCCGCTCCCTCATCATGGTCTGCAACAAGAGTAAGACGTAGCCTTGGAGAAGCTGAAATCACACTGGAAAAACTACACAAGAGCAGGACCCAGCTCTTAAGACCACATTTTACTTAAAAACGATGGACAGGAGGAACTCAAAGCCTTCCAGCAGTGCTGTAGGAAAGGCAAAACCTGCTCACGGAAACGGGGCGCTCGGAGGGCGGCCAAGGGTGCCCAAACACACGCCCGTGCGCTATACCAGGACTGACGCTGGAGCAGGGGCTGCACCAGCCACGGGGATGGGGGGCTCGGCCCCTCGAGGCGCTGATGCCATCGGCTCCACACGCCAGGCTGCCATGAGCAGGGATTTTGGGACGGCCCGACCATGCTTTGCAACCAGGAACAGCAGAGCTTTCCAAGCAGCACCGCGGGGCTCGGAACGCAACGTATCACCACCACGTGTAAACGCAACGTACTGCCCAGCCTCCAGCTCTGGGCTTTCCCACCCCAGTGGTGTGTTCCCTGTTCACACCCGGTGACACCGACCACGTGAGCGATTCCCCGTAACGAAGCAGCGGCTCAGAACACGCTTTACTTTCTGTAATAATTACGAGACCCGCAGCACACGGCTGAGCGCGGTTTTCCGTGGTTTCTTATCTGTCTGACAAAAAGCCGTGGTTTAGAGCAAAGCAAAGGTTTAGAGCAACTTAAGGCTGAGGTTTGCTCACCACTCACAGTGCACGGACTGCAGACCCTCTCACAACGTTGTGTAATGCCTTTTGTGGCAAAAAATTTGTTCTGCTTCTTAAAAAATAACACCGATCCGTAGCATTTGCATGATACAGTTAATTTTCAACACACTTTACAGACCTTAGCGATGGGGGTTGCCACGCACCACTATGAAATGGGTGTTTTCCAGCGACACATGGTGTGGATGACAAATTATTTAACAAGCAACTTATTTTTCTGCTCTCCTTTCTGTGGTTGAATCACAAAGAGAATTCTCTTCACCAGAATATACTTCAAATGACCTGGGTGAACATCCCTCAGCCCGTTCACTATCACCAGCTCGGTCTTGCCTGACTCCCGCCCCAGGACCGGGTTTCTAAGCCTGGTGGCAGATTTCGGCTCATCACCAGGACGAGGCCACGCAAACACTTCCAGAACCATCCCATATTACCAGGGGCGTCCATGTGTCAGTAGACACTCACGACAGCGTTCACGACACTTCCTACAGCTGTGTACGCTGCAGCCATCAGTGTTTGTCTCACACAACCATTCCCAGAAAAACGAACCAAAAGGTTGTAGGTCCCTCCAGGTGCATCGCTCTGTTTTTTACCCAAATGATGGGCCTGGCTGTTTTCCGCAGCCTTCATCCCCCTGGAGAAAGGGGTGCTGCACGAAGCACTGGGTGCCAAACGCCCTCAGCTGCTGTTCAATTTGGTAGCAAAAGAGCAACCCACACCTTCCAGGACGTGCCCAGCTCCTGTCCTGCCAGTCCTGCCCTGCTATCGGCCACGGCGGGGAAGGTTTCAGCTCTTGCAGCTTCAGGTGACGGAGCGGCAGCAGTGATGCTCCCCGTTGCTCGCCTGCGCCCTGCGCTCCCCTCCCCAAAACCCAGCACACGCTCTCGTGCCTCCAGACACAGCGCAGTGATTCAGGTGGCATCTGCGGATCTGCCATTGAAAAGCCACCTGCTCCACTGGGCTGCCATCATCCCTCCGAGCCCAGAGACGCCGGGCAGCAGCGCTGCTGGTGATCCCTCCCTCCGTCCCCAAAGGGGAACCCACCCCCATACACTCACCGCCTCCCGGGAACCCCAGTGCCTCCGTCATCCCACAGCCCCTGCTCTCTCACAATCCCACGTTTATGCACAAGAAGGCAGCGGGACATGAGAATTGCTCTCTTTGGGAATTTGGACACAAACAGAACACAGCCCCGGAGAGTTCCCAACCACTGGAATCCATGGGAAATGTACAGTCACATCAAACCTACGGGATGAGATCCTGACCGCCGGGAGCAGCCTTGCTATCGCCTTCAGCAGAAACAAGGATTTCCCACACTGCTTCCCTGTCGATGAGGGATCTCCGTACTTACCAGGCCATCGCACGTGCTGAGCGCCGCCAGACCCCCCTTCAGCGCCCGGCCCCGAACCTCCCCGATCATATGGCAGGAGTTGTACGCGTGAGACTGGATCTTGGCGGTCGCGATCCCCCCGTATCGCCTCTCGCTGACGAACCCGGGCGCCAGGAGGTTGTTGTTGAGGCTCAGGTTGAATTTCAGGGGTTGCCCTTTGTAGTGCAGTTCATAGAAGGCGAGAAACTTGCTCCTGGAGGAAGGAGACCTTCGGTGAAGCGCCCGGTGGGACAAATCGTAGGACAGGAATGATCCGCTCTCGTCAACCTTGATGGGATGAACGATGTCACTGCTGGAGTAGGGCTGAGCAGGTTCTGGGAAGAAAGGGGTTCAGTGGTCAGCTTGGGGGTTCATCACTGTTCCTCTCCCGCCCCTTTGGCTGGATGCTGATCTCCCAAGGCAGCCCAGTGGGGTCAGGTACCCAAATACCAGTTGGATCTGGTAACTGGTGTCTACTGCCAAAGGCACGGCAGGGAGCAAGGAAAGGCAGGAGCCCCACGGCTGTGGGGCGCATGGGGCCCCACACTGTCTCTGCTGCCCATGGTGGGGTCAGGGGTGGGATTTTCCCAGGGAGAGGGTTAAGGTCAGGGTTAGGGTGAGGGTGAGGAGGGATGGAGGTGGGTAAGGGAGGGGCCGTGCAGCTCCGGGACTCTGCTCCGGCCGGGGCCGGTCCCGGTTTCCACGCACACGTTCCGCTGTTTAAATACAG